GTTATGCCATTTTCACGAGGCATTGCATTTTCGAAAGAAAATCTTGAAAGAATAAAAGGAATGCTTACCGATTGCCAGCGTGGAAAACATATTCTATTGGTAACACCCGAACCGCGTTTATGTTTTCAGTTGAAAAAAACAAGAAATGTTCTTGGAATATTTACAATCAAAAGACGCAGATGATTGTTTTGATTCGGATGAACATCATCCTCGATCATATACTTCCACAATTAACCCTAGAATGTCTTATGGTTTAAAAGACTCACAAAAAGCTTTGAAATAAGCGTTACAATCATTAGGGTATATCGACAGTAAGGATAAGATAATGAAATATCCTTCTGAAGGTTCTGAAGGATTTCATAAATTTTTTACTGAAGTTTATGATACAATTAGCGAAAAGGGTCATTTTGACATTAAGAGCACTTACGAAATTTTAAGAGCTCAATCGACAAAACTCAAGATTCTACGTGAACAAAAGTTAAAGTTACTTCATTTGATTGATGACTTTGAATTCTTCGATATCCTTGATGAATCTGATGAAATCCTATGTCATGGAAAAGAATTAAATTACACATTGGAATCAGCTAAACCCTTAGATGGTGGTCAAATTCGTTGGGAAATTCCATTTTTACTTTTTAAGACAATTTTTGCTGAAAATAAATTCGATGAGAGTCTGAAAACTGCTTCACAAAGAGATGATTGTCCTATTATTTTTCAAGAAAACTACAAACCAATAAGTGGAATTGGAGGAGGAAGTCCACTTACACGCTTTGTCAAATATGAATATTTTGTACAAAAAATTATGCCATATCTTAGTCAAAAGCTTTGTGAACTATTACTCTCAAGATTTCGTCAAAAAATAACTAACATAATTGATGAGAAAGGTGAAAATTATGGAAGTTATGAGGATTTTATCCAAGGAAAATGTTTCGAGAAGGAAGATAAAATAATTAAATTGCTGAAAGCAAAAAGTCAAGATATGTTGAATAGTTTTTTATTAGCAAAAGCTTGGTTACATCATGAGATACTTTGTCATGTCATGAGTTATCGTTATAGAGTTGAATATGGATTGTCTGAAAAGAGAGAAAAAGAAATCGTTATTTCATTTCGAGGTAAAGATTTACCATCTGAAAATTCAGAGTTTAGTCGTCCTGATATTATGATTGGTTTTACAATCCTTAGTTATTTGTATCGAGGATTAGATTTCAAACAAGTAAAACACGGACTACTCAAGTTAAAAAATGATCCTAAACAAAATAGAGATAGTTTATTACAAAAATGGGTTCAAGAAAATAAAAAGTGGATTGACGAAATAATTGAAGAAAAAGAAGAATTTCCAGAATGGTTAATCCTTCGATTACCGTGCGAGAAAAATTCCTTGGATTACCATGCAAGGACATTCTTGTCCATAACTATAAGTCATTAAAACTTAACTTTGTTCAGCTTTATCATTTATTTTTTTTGTTAATCTGATACATCAGATTTCTCACCGCACACTTCACAAACAATCTTTGCATGACTATGCATTTTACACACATAAATTCCGCACTCACAGCATTTGGTGCTAATCCTACTAGCTTTTTGTTTACTTGCGTAATCAAAAGCTTTATCGTAACAAATTTTGCACCGACCACGATTTGTGGTAACTGACTGAGATGTTGCTATTGTTGTTGTTCTTGGTGTTGATGAATCTGTAGATGTCTTCGGACACAGAATACTCTTTATTCCCAAGACAACATCCTTGTGCAAATTTGATGTGTCTCTTTGCGAAACGTAAGGCTTGACCAAAGAAAGAGCTAGCTCCCTCAGAAAAAGTTTCCTCCGGTTTAAATGGTTTCTCTCCCAATCAGGAAAGCATTCAATAAAAAGTGTAAAGGCATTAACACCAATTATATCAAGTAACGTGTAAAATATAGACACTGGCCATCTGAAAGAAGCTCTTTTAGTAGGATTGTCGTGT